CATCAGCAAAATGGGTTCCCTTTTTTCAGGACTGTTTTCATTCGGGTAAACAAAAAAAAAATTAACGGGGAGGGTGGGGTACAGGGGTTATGCCGTTTTTGGTCAAAAACTGCTGGATGTTCAGCGTGGTGAGGACAAGTGCACTCATAAATCACTCATCATAAAATGGGCAGACACATTGAAAGAATCTCTGAAAAAAATTAACTGAAGCTGAATGCAGCCTTTCAGTATAACACCAACTGGCTCACTGATGCCAGTGGGTTCCTAGAACACTTATCAAGTGGAGGGAGCCTGTACTGTGAGGGGCCGTCCCTTTAAAAAATAATTCTGGGGGTTTTTTGAGTCCCCCTCTTGAACTGTGCTTCCCAGCATTTAGTGGTTACAGTGCTCTTTCTAGAATTCTAATATGCTATGGCATTTTTCTGCTTTACTTTTTATCATGTAAATTTTCAAAGTACAGTTATAATGAATTCTGTGTACCTATCACTCATCTTTAATGAGTACTAATAGGTGATAAATCTTCTCTCTCTCTTTTTGATGAAGAGACTGGGCCATTTTTTCTGTAGACTTTTCTACCGTTTGGATTTTGCTAATTGCATTTGCTTTTCTTTTTTTTTTTCCTTTTTCTTTTTAGCATGTTCTTCTGTCCCTTATTTCCTGAAACTTGATAAAAAGATGTAGAAGTTTGGTCAGATTCACTTGAGAGTCTTATTTTCTTCTTTCTTTTGTTGACAAGACTGTATAGCATAGATGATGTTCTAAACAACCATTAGGGAAATAAGTCTGTTTCTCTTTTTGTTACTCTATCAGATATGTGATTGTTGCTTCAGTCCATTAATTTACTAGAGGGAGACTTTATTATTTTTTCTAAGCCAGACTACTATAAAAATAAACTTCTCTTCATCAGTTTTTTTAAAATTTAGCTTAAGATACAATGTATATACTGTGTGAGTGTATGTGTGTGTGTTTTATTCTTTCCCTCTAATTATTGGTCTTAGAATGAGTTGGTTCCTAGCACACACTGAAGATGGCCAATAGAGTTTTTTCATCACGAACTCAACCATTTAAACATATTTGTGTTTCGATCCATTGTAGTTATTATCCTTATGATTCTCAACTTATTCTGTCTTTGGACAGTGGAAGCTTATTCAGTTAATTCCTGAGTCCTTTTGACGTGAGCCTTCTAGCAGTCTTTGATAGCTCTTTGCTTTCTAGTATAACAGCTTGCTCCAGGTTGTCTTGTACACTTCCTGCTCTGGACCTGGAATTTTCCATTTTTCCTAGGAGCCCTAGATTATTTTAGTAGTAAATGAAACATGCCACATTCTGATGCCAGTATAATCTCATATATTGGTCTGGAGCTTGGTATGCCACTGCATGTCTATTACCTCTAAAGTTTTCTGACCCTGACCTCTGCTGCCCTGCTTGCTAGAAACAATGATTTCTCTCTCTACCAAAAAAAAAAAGTTCAAAAATATCTAAAAGTTATCAAATAAGTTTGTTCAGAGGTAACAGATCAGAAGGAAATATTTAAAACCCACTTTTAACAGTCTCCTTACCATACCTACCTTCCAACTCTGTAGAATCCTAAAGGGCCTTGAGAGAAGATGAAAAAAATTACACAAAAATGTGCTTGAGACTTGACAATAACATTGACTTTTTGTGTTTTTTAAGATAGCAGATTGCAAAACGAACAAACTTCAGAGTGGAAAAATCTAACAGATACCACCCAAGCCAAATGATAAAAGTTAAGTCACTAGTAATGGGACAGATTGACATCATTTGCTTCCTGATATGATACTCTGAGGGCACATTGTTTATATAGTTTACAAAAGTGCACTTCCTGAATCCAGAGACGACAATGAGACAAATTCACACTGAGGAACATTCTCTAAAATAGTGAACCTATATTCTTCAAACAGGTCAGTGTTATGAAAGACAAAAGTCAGGGAACTGTTCAAATTTAAAAAGACTAAACCGACATGATGGCCAAATAAACACAAGGTATGACCCTGGAGTTGGGGAGATAAGTCGCTATCAAGGACAATATCAGGACGGTTGGCAAATATAAATATGGACTACATATTGAGTAATACATTATCAATATTATACTTTCTGATTTTGAAAAATAAACTGGTTAGATAAGAATAGGTCCTTGGCCAGGCTCGGTGGCTCAGCATGTAATCCCAGTGCTTTGGGAGGCCAAGGTGAGCTCAGCCTGTAATCCTAGTGCTTTGGGAGGCCAAGGTGAGTGGATTGCCTGAGCCCGCGGGTTCGAGACCTGCTTGGGCAACTTGGCGAGACCTCATCTCTAAATAAATCAAAAATTAGCCGGGTGTGGTAGCGCGTGCCTGTCATTCCTGCTACTTGGAAGGCTGAGGTGGAAGGATCGCCAGAGCCCAGCAGGTCGAGGCTGCAGTGGCCGGGAGCAGCCACTGCACTCCAGTCTGGGCGACAGAGTGAGACTCCAACTCAAAAAAAAAAAAAAAATAGGTCCTTGCTTTTGGAAAAAACACACTGAGGTATTTATTGCTGAAAAGTTATGGTCTTTGAAACTTACTCTCAAATTGTTCAGTAAAAATAATGTATACGATATGCATCTTACATACTGCATGTATAAAAGAGTGCACGTGTGATTAAATGTTAACCATGGGTGAGCCTCAATAAAGGATATAGAATTTGATTTATAAATAAATAACTTAATTTAAAAGATTAAATAATTCATTCTCATTATTTAATTTTACTTTTCTTATAGCTTTATTTTTGAAAACTTTAATTTTATTTCATGTAGTAATTTATTTTAATATGCTGTTTGATGTTTATAAATGCATTGTTTTACAAAATGATTTATGTTTAGACATTTTTACTTTTGAAATGCTTTGTGTTATTTCATTCTATGATTTATTTTGTTTCTTAACTCTTATAAAATACCACTATTGCATAAGTATTTTTTCAAAATATCAATATTATTATTTGACTTGTGTGTTTCAGTCACCAGTGACAATAGGAACCTTTGACTCTTGAAATAGAGATTCACTTTAGGGAATTGCTACGAGAGCAGAAATACGAAAGATGTGCCTTGTAAGCATGTGATTCATTGTTTTAAAAGTGTACTTCAAGCTGGGTGTGGTGGTATGTGCCTATAGTCCTAGCTACTCAGGAGGCTGAGGCAGAAGGACTGCTTGGCCCCAGGAGTTAGAACCTAGCTTGAGCAACATAGGAAGACCCTCTTTTAAAAAATAGCTTTTCATGAATAATTTAAAAATATCACACTTCTACCTCAGCTTCCTTGTTCCCACTCCTCTACCAATACCTCACAAACGTTTGTGTGACTGAGAGGTTAATTAAGTCTTTGTTGATGCTTTGTAGGATTGTTTTTCTGTTTTTGAGACTTTAGCATACACAAAAACCCAAATTTCCTTTAATAGGTGGAGTTTCTTTGAAATGTCATGGTCAGATATGACAGATGGCGTTTCTGGAATACAGCTCTCTCGACCACATGCATAGTGGCTGAAGGTTTCTGTGGCTCCTTTTGCATCCGTTAGCAGCTGGCATTCTGGATGATGGCCTTTGGTAGTTCCAGGCACACTGATGGTGGACATGCTTGACAGAGAAGAGTGGGGTCTGGCTGTTTCCTTATTCCTGTAGTGAAAGAAACGCAGTGATAGCAAAACTGTGCTTTCTTGCAGGTTGTATTAATAACTGGATTCTTTCATTAATGTCATCAATAAATAAGCTAGGGTTTGTTTTTAAATCTGCTGTTATTAGCAGTCACTGGAAGCCAAAAATTTAATTTTGCTCAAATTACAAAATGCATTGTTCATAATATGAAAAATTGAAAATAACTTTTGTGCCTATTAATGGGAAAATAGTGAAATTAGTTATAATATGTCCATACAATTAAAAAAAATACATCCATGCAGTTGTGTAGTGGTTAAATAGACTAGGTAGGTCCATATTTTCTGATTTGGAAAGATTACTAAGACATATTATTAAGTCAAAGCAGCATGCTGAAAAATAGTTATAATATTCTATTTTTTAAAAACAACTATATTTATATTGTATTCATAAATGGTAATGCTTCAGAATGTACTATAAAGAAGCCTAGCCGGGCTCAGTGGCTCAGCCTGTAATCCCACGCCTTTGGGAGGCTGAGGTGAGTGGATTGCCTGAGCCCACGGGTTCGAGACCCGCCTGGGCAAGTGAGACCTCATCTCTACAATAAATCAAAAAATGAACCGGGTGTGGTAGCGCACGCCTGTATTTCCAGCTACGTGGAAGGCTGAGGCAGAAGGATCGCTGGAGCCCAGCAGGTCGAGGCTGTGGTGGCCGGGAGCGGCCACTGCACTCCAGTCTGGGTGACAGTGAGACTCCAACTCAAAAATAAATAAATAAATAAATAAAAGAAGCCTAAATTCTTTAATAATGCAGCGATTGGTGGGAAAGGGAGTACTGTAAAGAGTGAACTTACACTTCCATTCTGGATATATCTTGTACTTTTATTAGCATTTTTAGATACCAAGAATATTAATGTATTACTGTGTACTTGTACAGATTAATGTGGATTGCAGTTTATCTATGTAACACTTCAAAGGAGTGGACTTAATCTAATCAGTGCCAATTATATAATTTCTTCTTTAAATTTTATTGATTTTTAAATTAAATTAATTTTATTTTATAGTTGTGGGGTAAAAATCAAGATTGCATACATAAATGATTTAAGTACAGGTGAAGTTTTGGGCCTCCCATTGGACCTCACTTCACCTGGATTAGGATCAGGCACCCTTATTGATGTTATGTGTGCCCCCTCTCCCCCTCAGCAGTGTCCTGCTACTGCTAATCCATTTTTTGTAGTATTATGATAGGTGTTCAGGGTCCACTTATGAGTGAGAACATGTGGTACTCCGTCCTTCGTTTCTGTGATAGATCGCTGAGTATGATAGACTCCAAATCTATCCAAGTTACTGCAAAGTCCATAATTTTGTCCTTCTTTCTAATAGCTGATATGCATTCAGGATGGTTACCTTTCCCTGCTAACAGAAACTGGTGAAGTTCGTGAGGATCTCAAACTCCCAGAAGGTGAACTAGGCAAAGAGATAGAAGGAAAATACAATGCAGGTGAAGATGTACAGGTAAAAATGTAGGGAAAGCTTGTTTTTTTAAAGCCATTTTATAAAAACTTTGGCATCAACTGCTTAGCATAAATACTATAAATGGAGTGTTTTTTAAAAATACTGTTTAAATGTTGAAAATGATCTCTGTAGGGTAGTTTTTCCATAATACCCTTAGAGACACGTTACCAAAGAAAGCATCAGAGTTCATTTTTTGCTACATAAACACTCTCAACCCAAATTTGTTTTGAAACTTTGCATCTGAGCGATTCTTAAGGATGAAAAAGGATGCTAACAGAGTGTTAAATAAAGAGTAGAAAAGATTTACTCCATCATGGTTACAACTCTTAGAAATGTAACATCTAGTAGGTGTTAAAACATTTATAGTTTTTTTCTCTTTGTCCCTGGAATTTGTCCTACTTTGAGAAATTCTACTTTAGAAAACTACAAAGAAGTTTGTTGTGGAATACCCCTTTCCAAAGTTAATATGTACAAAATATCCACAAATATATAATATATGATGAACTAAATGTATCTTCTATATGTATTGCCTGCTGAATAACCTTTTGCCTGCATTTTTTTCTTTCTAGGTGTCTGTCATGTGTGCCATGAGTGAAGAATATGCCGTAGCCATAAAACCATGCAAATAAATGGGAACACCAAGCATGAGCAAACTGTTGAGGTCTGGGCCAACTGCAGACCTAAAGTCGGTTCCAAGTTATCACCAAAGCTATAGCCTTCATAAGCAACCTCATTTTCTTTTTTAATTGTTTGAAAAAAATTGTGCTGGGTTAGTTTTGTAGGCAATGGGTAATTTTTAAAATTATTAAAGTATATAGCTTTTTTTTTATTTTGTAAATGTTTTTCCTGTAACGTTCCTCTGATTTTCAGTATGTGAGTCTAAGAAACAGACAAGATAGCTTCAGCAGATGTGATTTGTCAGAGCAAATCATTCCTGAATCTTAGTTAAATGATAAACCAGGGTTTAAAGTCAAACAATGTAGCATAAAGTGGTATTGAAGTACCATATTCAAGTTGAGTTGCTCTGGGTTAATTTCAGGTTTAATATAGAATATATAGATTATGGATTAGAATTGTTACAATATCGCCCTGTGTGTGGCAAATACAGATCCTTAAACAAAAATCGTGTTATCAGAAAGTGTCAGTTATCTTGGTGGCCGTGTGCAAACGCGTTCTGCTTTTTTCTGGTCGTTCTGCTTTTTTGCCAGATTGTTGGCAATGTAATCTTACATGGTGATTTTAGTACCTTTTTGTGGTGGGCAGAGGGGTATTGAACCGTTGGGTGAAAAATGAGCAAGTTGGATTGCAAACAAGGCACAGAGACAGTGGCAGAGGGGATTGACTAAAGTTGCAGGTTTTTATTTGAGGCCTTGGTAGTCAGCATAACAACAGTGACTCTAAGCTGTGCTTTTGTTTCTAACTTTTGCTCCTCTCACCTCCCTTAGTATCCTTTACAGGATACTACGCAGTGCTTTTTTTCCCCCCCCAACCATGTTGAATACATTTTGGCAGTAAACCCTCCTTCTTAATCATTTCTCAGTAGATTATTTTGACATTAAAATCTTCTTTAGACAAAAACTGATAATTCTTCAAATTGATTTGGACTTTTTGCTAAATGTATGTTCATTTTTTTCTAAAGTGAAGTGAAAGTGACTCATGGAAGAAGTGTTACTTTATATGAATATTATTTAACTTATTTTAAGTATTTTTTTTCTGGTTGTCATATGACAATTCAGTTATTGTATGAGATATAACTAGGAAAGAATTCTCTAAACTAAATTATTTAAAAATTATTTTAAGTGATACCACTGTATTACTACTTAATTTTTTGAGTCATATGTGTATTATTTCCAGAATTTTAGACATTGTTACAGGGTTTGTGACTAACTTTGGCTCAATAATAATCTTTATATGAGGTATTGGAGTGAAACTTAGAACAAAATCACTATCTCAATAATACCTTGATTCTCTAAGTCTTGTTTTTAGATTTCTCCCATCATGCCTTGATCTCTGAATGGTCTTTGTTCCTGTTATCTGTATGATGAGGAAAATATATATGATGATTGTAACTGATCTAAGCAGTGACTGGAGGTAGCATTAGGAACAAAAGATCCCAAGTTTTAGTTGCTTAATTTGTACACACATCAATCTTCTCTTGGCCTCAGTAAACCCATTGGAAGAAGAAGCAACATACTTTAAGAGAAGTGCAAAGAGGAAATTTCTAAAGCACAAGAATTGTTTTAGTATAACATTCTAGCTTTTGCCCATGTAAAGCACAATTAGGAATTAGGCTAAATTCTTTCCAGTTTTCTGTTAAGTATCTGCTCCATACTATTCTAGCTCTGTAAACACGTATCTTACTTGCCGCTGGTTGTCATTGTTACCCACAGGAATTCCAGAAATTTATTAATCTGTGCTGCTTGCTGGCCATTCATATGGCCCCTGTTAGCCATAGTAGTGTTCTGATTTAGTATTAACTCTGAATAGCATGCTCTTGGTCTTCCCAACTTGTCAAACTTCATATAAATATATTTCTAATTGTGACATAAGGGGATACAAATTATAATAATGCATCTCTATCTTCACACCTTAAATGATGAAAGCTATTTATGCATAAATCTTTTAAGTACTATATGAAGTGTAAATACTCTTCTGACGTCTAAGTATAAATTTTAAAGATAGGGGACTGTTTATTTTCACATAAGTCAATAGATGTTTCTCTAGAACAAAATATTTCATTTACTGAAGCTTTATAAATTACATTAAAAGGAAGCAGATAACATGTATTTTTTAACATAGAAGTGACTTCATTCTTTGTAGACATCAGAGAAATGTTAAAAAGTTGATTCCTACTATTTGTTGTACTTTTTTGTAGCAAATGTGAAATATCACAGAGTTGCCATGTATAGAATGTGGACTGTCATGCTGATAGATTATATAATGATAAACCATTTTTGTCTGTATACATTTCACCAATTTATATTAATAGTTTGAATATTTTTTTAGAACAATGTATTTTATTTCTATTGTGAAGACTTTGTTATACCTTATCTGCTACAAAGTTGTATACTCTCTGACATAGATCATATCATTGCTACTTTGACTTAGCATTTCCATCATAAACATAATGTATGTTTCTTTCATGCTTCCCTCCAAGGGCTGTCCATCACTCGTAAGAAACTGTTGAAACCAAGTTCTTGACTCTGTTTCCTTTAATGTTACATGCCTCTGTACTGATGCTTTATATTAATTACCAAAACTCTCCCGCCGTCAGAGCATGATACCAATAATGGAAGATGCTGCAATAAAACGTTTAGACTGTAAAATTTGAAGGCAATTTTCCATCACAACACAACGTGGGTATGTGCTCATGCACTTACAGTTTTTTATGTTTATTTTCCCAAAGTCCTTCCAGCTCTTAAAAGTACTGTAGTACGGTAGTGCCTCAAATGATGGTAACTGTTGTTTGTTTTAATTTGCAACTTTTCCAGAACTTGTTTTTGTATTTTAAGATTTTACAATTAGATTATTTATAGTTGAACTGTATTTTGAATGCATTGTTCTCAGGGCTGTTTGTGCTAAGAGCTGAAATGCCATTATTTTAAAGCTAATGCCTGAAAGTATATTGCAGAATTTTCCCAAATTGTAATATTATAATACATACATATAAAAAATCCTTAATGTAAACTTATTTAAACTACATGCTAAGAAGTAAAAATATATATGGAAACATTAGTAGCATCTGTACTGGAATCTTGTCATATTCTTTCATTTTAGAATAGAATTTAGCAGTCTCATCTTAGAACCCTATCCTTAGGATATATCTGAAAGCATTCCTTTGGTATGGACCCCAAAGATAGTTTTAGAGTCAGAAATTGAAGTAGTGGTTCTTCAAACATATTTAGGGATAACATCAGAAATACATAATGCTCTTTTGAATACATTCAAATTTTTACATATTGAATCCTATAATAAAAACTAGGAATACATATAGTATGAGAAGATGTGGCCCTTAAGCAGTATAAGAGCAAAAATATAAGCCTATTTCCATAAACAGTATATTGTACTGAAATAGTTTCCATTTTCTAATGTCATTTAGGCATAATATTTCATAGTTTTCAAGCCCTTTTCCTGCTAGCATCCAGACAAGCAAAGATTTTAAAACTTATGGTAGAAAATCTTAAATTGAGAAAATTCAGTCTCTTTATTAAATTTTTTCCCTCTGAATTAGGTATATGGCATCATTATTTGATTTTAGCAGGGAATATTTGGATTTATTGTAGAACACAGATGTTCTGTGGGAACATGGCTTGAAGCAAATACATAATTTAGTGTTCTTCCATTAAATAAACAGCCAAATGCCAACTTAACTACCAAGTGAGGTCAAGTGCCTGAAAAGTGCCGTATACATCTCATAAGACGTTTTCTTTATGAAAGATGCATCTTGTAGCAATGCATATCAGGCTTTCACTCTGACAGAACAAGACTTGTTGCCAAATTTTGCCATCTAGTGTTATGCCCTTCCTTAGGTCAGGTAGAAACCCATTTTACAATAAAAAGCGAGATTCTTTTATTTATATGAAGTCCCTAAAACTATTTATTGGTAGACTTGTTTATCTTAGTTCAAAACTGCACTTTAAAAACAAAACTAAACTATTTTCAGCAACGACTGAACAGTTTGTCATAAATTGTAGTTGTCTTTCTTGATATGAACTCTTTATGTGGCTGTATCTATAGGCACTCTTGTGCTTTTCATAAAGTATACAAATTACAAGTTCTATAATTATGTACTTTTGTCCTCCCCCAAAATGGAAATAGTTGAAACGACATTGTATAATCTAGTGGCACTTTATTAGTAATACATTTTGTCTTGGATACAGGAAAACTCTTGCTTTTACCTTCAGAAACACGAATGTCTTAGCTAAAACTTTAAGTTTTTAAGATATGTAGTATGGGAATTATTGTGCATTTTATGTTTCAAAAATGGTTAAAATGCAAATGTTAAGTCTTTGGCTGTACTGTACTAAAAAAAACCCTTTAAATGCAGATAATAAACATCAATTATAACTTTTTGTTACATTAAAGTATATTTGTTAACTTCGTCAGTTATGGCAAATAAAAAAGTTAACAGCTTGCACTATTTGTGTATGTATACATTCTTTAAAAATATTATACTAGAAAATTGTATGAGTTAATGAGTGTGTAACTTTTAAAAGGAAATCTAACTTTTCCTTTTTTTGTTTTTGAGTTGGAGCCGCCCTCTGTTGCCCAGGCTGTAGTGCTGTTGGCACGCTCATGACCACCCCAGCATCGACTTGCTGGGTTCAGGTGATCCTCCTGCCTCAGCCTTCCAAGTAGCTGGAACTAGAGGCTTGCGATATCATGCCGGGCTCATTTGTTATTTGTTGTGGAGACCAGGGCTAGCCAAGTTGCCCAGGCTGGTCTTGAACCTGTGGTCTCAATCTGCTCCCCTCGGCCTCCCAAAGTGCTAGGATGACAGGCTGAGCCACAGAGCCTGGCCTAACTTTTGTTCTTATTGTTTTTATATTCTAGGTTCTCACAGTGCCCTAACACCATGGACTGGGAACGCTAATTTATTAATTTTGGTCCAAGATTCAGGTACAATTTTGTTTTAATTTGTAAGTGTTTAATAGTTCTTAAACTGTAAAAATAGTCATTTGCTTCAAAATTCAGCAGGTATGAAAGTAAAAACATCTCCCATCTTGATCCTCTCCCAAGAGTTTTCCTGCCAGAGGGGTTCGTGGTACTCCCCTCACCCACAGCCTCCCAGGGGCCGAGGTGCTTGGAACCGGCTGGCGAGGCTGCTCTCCGTGATGCCATGAGTGGCATCATAACCCCTGGGGCGACCCCTTCGCCCTTCCTCCCGTCCTTGCCCCCACGTCTGGTCCACACTGGCTGGGTAAGGCCAGGCTCCACCTTGGTGAGGGAGGGAGGTTCTGGAATGCCCCTGTGTCCCTTTTCCCTGCCCTGGGGTGTTCAGAGCACATCTCCTCACTATGAGCCCTGCCAGGACCCCCGTGTACAATGAAAGGGGAAATACAAGCAAAAATTAAAGAATTCCTGAAAGATGATAATGAAAACACTACATCTCAGAGTCCATGTAAAGCAGTAGCAGAGGAAAATTCATAGCCCTAACATCTGTATAAATAAAAGTGGGAGAATGAACATAAGTGAATTAAATTTTTAAATCAAACAGGACACAAACCAAAAGAAAACACAAAGGAGGAAATGATAAAAGCAGAAAAGATTAAAATTCTTGTTTTTTAAAAATTAAGTAGACCAATCATTAGCCACTTTATTTAAGGAAATAAAAAACCCACAAATTTTAAAAATGAAGGCTGAGCACAGTGGCTCACATCTGTAATCCTAGCACATTGGAAGCCAGAGCAAGAGAATTAGTTGAGCCAGGAGTTTGAGACCAGCCTAGGCAACATAGTGAGACCTCTTTTCTTCAAAAAATTAAAATAAACTAGCTGGGCATGGTGGTGCATGCCTGTAATCCCAGCTAACTGGAAGGCTGGGGTCAGGAGGATTGCCTGAGCCCAAGAGGTCGAGGCTGTGATGAGGTGTGATCATGCCACTTGCACTACAACCTGGGAGGCAGTGAGACCCCAACTCAAAATAAATAAATGAAATTTAAAATGAGAAATGACAAGGAAGAATAATGCAGAAGAAATAAAAATAGAACAGGAAACTCTCTATAAACTTCTATGCAAATAAGTTTGACAACCTAGATGAAATTTTTTTTTAGGAGAATATGGTATTGAAATTGATCTCAGTAAAGACAGAAAACTTAAACAATAATTTTAACAGAAGAACTAGAGAAAGTTATTGAGAAACTGCTCCATGGAGAAACCAAGCAAATATAAAACAAAAGTGGGTCCAAATGACTTCACAGGAGAATTTTACCAAATGTTTCAAGACCAGATGGTCCCGATGTTATACACATTGCTTTAGAACATAGAAAATAATCAGAATTCCTAAATTATTTTTATGAAGGAAGTATAACACTGATACTTAAACCTGATAAAATAACAACAAAAAGAAATATATTAATCTTGATATTTGTTTTTAGACTCAAATACCACATGGAGGAAATAACATACTATGTCCACATGGAATTTGTGTCAGAAATATAAGAATGGTTCAATATTAGAAAATCTATTAGCATAATTTGCTATCATAAGAAATGTTAGAAAATATTTTAATAGTATTTACTATATTAATAGGTCTAAAGCGAAAAATCATTATTTTCTTCATAGATACCGGAAAAAACCTTAGGTAAAACAATACCCATCCTCAAAAAAAATCTTTAAAAAATAACATAAATATGTTCGTGTTTATATATGTTATCTTGTTATACATTAGATATGTTTGTGTACATGTGTATATATACATGTGTGCATAAAATTCCAAAAGCTAGCCTTTTACTTAGTGGAGAAACACTAAAGGTATTCTCACTAAGGTCAAGAACTAGACAAGAATGCCCACTATCTTGACCCCTATTACATTTTTTTAAAAGTATCAGTCAGTACAACTGGATAATAGAAAACAATTAGACACATTGAAATCGTTGAAGTAAAATATACATGTATATTGTTTTCAGATCTGTATACATAGAAAATCCCAGATAATAATAAAACTGACTAAAAAATTGTCCAGCAAGACAGCAGGATATAAAATTAGCTTGCAAAAATCAATAACTTTATACACACAAATAATAACAAATTAAAAGACATAATGAAAGGAGAACCTTCTTTACGATAGCAACAAGAAAAATATAGTGTGTAAACTTAAGATATGTTTAAAGCCTATACAAAGAAAACTATAAAACATCCCGAAAGACACATAGTCAACCTGAGCAAATTCTGCATTCTTGGTTGATAGCTCAGCATTATTAAGATGTTAGTTCTATCTAATTTATAAATTTAATGCAGTCTATTAAAATACCAACAAGTTTTTTTTATAGAGTTAAACAAATTGCTCATAAGGCTTATATGGAAGTGTAAGCATGCAAGGGTCCCTAGGAAAATACTGAAGAGAAAGAACTGCGAGTGGGGACTAGCAGTATTGGAAAGTAAAGCATACTACAAAGCCTCTAATCAAGGCAGTGAGGTACTGGCAAATGAAATAGAATAGGAAGTCCAGAATAGACCAAGCACAGAGAGAAATTTAATATCGATAAGACAGCGTAGCAAGTCACTGGGCAAGATTGACTTAAATTGTGTTGGGACAATCAGAAAAAAATTAACTTGGAAAAAAATTAAATAAGATGAATTCCATACAACACATATAAGAGTAAACACCAAGGGTAGCAAAGATCTAAATGGAAACAATAAAACTATACAAGTCCTAGAAGCAAGCATGAGTGAATTCCTCTATAATCTGGCTTGTTAACGGACTGGAAATCCAGATACAATAAAAGAGGTGTGTGTGTGTGTGTGTGTGTGTGTGTGTGTGTGTGTGTGTGAGAGAGAGAGAGAGAGAGAGAGAGAGAGAGAGAGTTTGGGGTTTTTTTGTTTGTTTTTGCTGGTTTCCACTGCGTTTATTACTAGTATAAAAAGATGTTAAAAAGAAAAAATTATCTCATTCTCCGTTTTCCAGCAGCTGGCATCCCTCCCTCTTGCCCACACAACTCCTGACCCATTTCCTCAGGGCCAGCTCAAAACTGAGCCTGTTCACTGCCATATTCACAGAAAACAAGAAGTGCCAGGGCGTGGTGGAAGAGGGCTGGAAGAGGGCGACAAGGCCGTCCAGGTTCTCCCCCAAAATAGGCCCGGGGGAGGGTCACAGAAATCAAACGAAAGGGCGGGTGGCCTGACAGTGACAGCCGGGCAACACCGGGCTGGGGAGGCGCGAGGCCGGGTCCAGCATCAGAGGCTGTGTCGGACCCCGACGAGCCAACGCCCGGGGAACGAGGGGGAGGACCAGGGCGGCCGTCTGAGGGACCGCGCCCCAGTTCTCCCACGCCGGGCGGTGGAAGAGTCCCGAGGGCACCAGGGGCCTCCTCGCTCTGGCAAAAGGCCCGGACTCCGAGAAGAGCCACCGGGAGACGCGCAGCTCCCCAAAGCACGCGGGCCACACACCACGGGGGGGGGGGGTCACGGCC